CTCTGAGTTTCTGTCCCGTGAGTGGTTCTTCAACCTGCCCTGAACCGGGGTCCCTCTATGCTCATATCCTTCCTGCTGAAGGCAGCTTCCAGTGTTTGGCGATCCTTGAGAAGGATGACTAAACCATCTCCAGCGAAGCCTCAGGATCTGTTTCACATCAAACTCTTTCTTGCCGGACACTGACATTGTTGCCGGAGGAAAGACAAAAGCCTTCTCTAACAGAAAGGAAATGGAGCCTTTGTTATCTCTTGTTTCTCTGCCTCTTGTGTAGAACTAACAAAAGCACAAGTGCTGAGAGAGAGAGAGAGCAGTCTTTCTTGCTTTCTCTCCCCTCCCCCTCTGCCTGTGATACACTGTGAATATTTAGCTAACAGTGTAGGTGGGAACCCATACTGACAGGATGATGAGGTCAGACCTTAAACAAGTAAATCAGCTTAGCACAGGAAAGCAGCTACCACAAACACACTCCAGCTGCTAGATTTGCAAACTCATAGCCCTCAAGCCAAAGTGCATAGCCGCTACATAAACCCAGGCATGTGAGTAAAAGCAAACTGTTTAAAGTCACTTATACATTCCTCCTGACCTCGCCTACTGTTACACTCACTCCTCAGTAGCCCACTTCCAAAATTGTGCCAATTTGTCCCAGGAGAATTTGTCATGGTGAATTCGTTATGATCTATTTTGAGATTCTTCTTATGTAAAATTTGAATATAGCTCATTAAGGAAAAGCGTCGTATCCTTAGTCCCCTTATGCAGATCTGCAGTTATTATATGCAAAGCTCTTCTGAATGCCTCTGGATAAACATTCTACTTGAAAATAGAAGCTATAAAAATCATAAGGTCATGTTGATTAGCCACGACTATACTCCCACAGCCCTATAAGCACACACACACACACACACACACACACACACACACACCACTAAGGGCTGTAGCAATAGTAACTAACTTAAGCTAACATATGGAGAAACAGTGCTTCTCTGAGTTAACTCGAAAAAAAAAAAAGATGTTTCTATCCTTGACCATAGCCTGAAAGTGAACACATCATTCTGACCTCTTGCCTATATAAACACCACTTTATCATACCCCGTACTTTCACAGGCAATGATAAGGCTTATTTTCTTTGTTCAGAAGTCTTTATAAAACGATGCAACAGGGCATCTTTTAAATTAACTCAAACTCACCACAGTGATGAGTAGTATCCAAAGTACTTTGACATCTGGTTCCAAATGACTATTTTAGGCCAAGACAAATATTTCTAACACAAGCTAACATAGATCAATAGTATAATATCAACATTTACAATGCATTTTGAAAGTATAACCAGATCTTGTGGTTTATAGCCATAGTAATAAAGGGGGATTTACCTTAGCACATCAATCTTGAATTTGTAAGATTTGAGTTTCAATTTTGTAGTTAATCAGCTGTGTGACCCTGGAAAAGTCACTTCTTGGCATATTAATATCTTCAGCTACAATATAGAGAAGCTGAATTGATTTCTAAGTGTCTACCAACACCAGTGCAAAATGGCTTTAAAAAGAAATTAGAGAAGGAAATTAACTCTTCTAAGTTTGGGGTTTATCTCCAGTTGTACATAAATCTAATTGCAACTTTCTCTTTTCCATCTTGCTTTTGCAAGCATGACTATTACCTTATGGCAAATTGATTCGTTTATAAAGTGCCCAGATATTTGCTTAGATATTTATTCATTCATCTGTTTTTGTGAGGGGGAGTCAGTGTAAGTTTAATATTTACATTAACAGAGTAAGTAAAATTGATTGACATAATTCAGTGTGATACCTATTAACTAGTTGAATGCATGAATCTTTGCCCAGATTTGAACTAATGTTGCTTTTTCCTGGGACTTGTGCCAGAATCATTCAAAGCTGAGCACCATCAGATCAGGTGCTTCTCCGTCTTCTTTGCTGCATGTCTGAGAACTCCAGCCTCTTCTCTCCCACCATGCGCACTATTAGCTATATTCTCTAGAGAACCCTGATAAATTCAGGTTTGTCTGACATTCAAAAGTCATTAAATACATACTAATATAGAGTTCATTTTGTGAGTTATGAACAATTTATTCTCATCTCCAAATTTTTCATCTATTTCCCATAGATTCTTTCGTCCTGTGGTTATTAATAGTCACCTGTATTTGATACTTTGTGAAGATTACTGATGATGTAAACGCTGAATAACTGAATAAAACCTCAAATCGTTCTCTTTTTAAGATTTATTTATTAATTATGCATAGTGTTCTGCCTGCAGGTATGCCTGAAGGCCAAAAGAGGGCACCAGATTTCAATATACATGGTTATGAGCCACCATGTGGTTGCTGGGAAATGAATGCAGGACCTTTGGAAGAACAGCCAGTGCTCTCAACCTCTGAGCCATCTCTCCAGCCCATCATATGGCCAATGTGCACAGACAACTAAATCTGGAAACCTTTCTTATAAGCCAAGTATATAAGACTCCATCTGAACACCTAGGACTCAGGGTATATGTTTTAGAGCCACTATACATAAAATACAATGTTGCAAAGAGAGAAAGTAAATTTTTTATACCAGATAGAATGATTGAGAGTTTTAATAGACATGTCTGTGATGTGTGATGGGAATAAGAAGTACTGAATTCCAATCAGTGTAGCTCTAACCAATACTAAGATGTGAATATAGGTTCTCCCACTAGAGTTCATGTGCTGGAAACTTCATCTACTAGGTAGCCAAGGAGGGGAGATGGTGGAAACTTGAATTGATGGAAATTATGGGAGTAAAGTGATTAGAGAACCTATAATTAGAAAGGGTTAACATAGTTGTCCTAAGACCCAACAGAAAAACACAAAATGTCAAGATTGATTGTTGAGCTATTCTCTGACTTCATGTGTCATTATGTGATTTTTCTCCTAACTTACATGTGCTCTTACCACTATGATGAAATTAAGCACAGGATTATTCTTTCCTACAAGCAAGTTCCCAAAGGTACTATAGCCATGTTACTCTGAATAAAAAAATCATATTTAGTTAAATTCAATTACAAGATAATATTACATAGAATGTAGGAATATATTACAGAAGTGTTAGACTTCTGAAATATTCTACAGCAGAAAGAATATACAATCATCCAAAATTAGTTACTATTCTCATTTAATTTTAAAAACTAAATAAATGTATTATTTTGAACCATAAGTAGTAAAAGTAGACTATCTTCTTTTTAGTTTGCAGTCTATTTCCTTATTTTATATGAAAATATGAAAAATAAATATTTAAAATAAATATCTCTAGGTGTGTGTGTGTATGTACCTATGTGTGTTTTACAGTATTTTCAACAAAATTCTTTTCTTTTGAAACTATTTTGCATTTTGAGTACCTTGCTTTCAAAGCAGGAAAATCTTCAGTTTAAATTCTACACAATAATTTGGATTAATGTCTACAAGTCACATATAAATTAATGCCATTTTTTTTTGTTTTTTCGAGTCAGGGTTTCTCTGTGTAGCTTTGGAGTCTATTCTGGCACTTGCTCTGTAGACCAGCCTGGTCTTGAACTCACAGTGATCCGCCTGCCTCTGCCTCCCCAGTGTTGGGATTAAAGGCCTGTGCCACCTAATGCCAAATATTTTTAAAGGAGTATAGTTAATTTTAATTTCTAACACTTCTGGAAAACTAAGAAAATCCAAGAGCAACTTGGAAGTGAATTTAGAAATTTCAGTGTAACAGAAAAATCCAGTCTCTAGTTTTTTGGTACAGATTCAGTATAATATTTCATAAATACAAATCTTGCAGTGTTGATGCTTTACATACATTTGTTAAACTGCAGAAAGCTATACATACATTGACATAGGATGAAACAAATTATGTCTTATATATAAAAATTAAAAGATTAAAGTAGAAAATCCTCTATAAAATAATATTCATTTTCCAACTCTACAAAAGTACGCTGATAAGCACACAAAAGCTAACAGGGACATGTAGCATATTAATAAGCATACATAGATATAAATTCATAGTTATTTTAAATAAATGCAAATTTAAGAAAGTATAGTTCAACTGTACTGAACCTACTCTGTCAATTTTATAAACCCTTCAATTTAGCTTCTCACAGTTATCTACTTACCAGTGTACTTTGCTGCTTATTAAGACATTTATTCACAATTTATTCAAGAATGTGAAAGCATTCTTTTGCTCTCCACAGCAGCAATTGATGAAGAAATGAAAAATACAAAAAATAGTAAATGATTCTTAGGTTAGAATGAAAGTATAGTTGCTGTGAATTGATTAATTCTTTCAATTGTTTGAAATTGACTGATTTTAATATCTAAGGAAAATATTGGCATTAATAATAACTTCAACTGTACTTTTCATAATTAAACCTGGAGTTCAATGTTGATCAATTATGGAAAAAATCTGAGAATTTTTTTTATTTCTGCCAATGTAATATTTGAGAATTTTTAATATAAAGTTTCCAACAAATTAATGTAAAAATGTTCAACATCTTTAGTAATAAGAACTTTACATTAAATATACAATGAAATATTACTCTGCATGTGTTGTCTACTGCTTACAAGATCCTGCACCTAAGGCTCAGGAAATACTGCAGAAAAGGAGACACAAAGATTTTAAGTGCCAGAGAACCAGGAAGTAGGCTGTGAGACTGTGTTTCAGAAATAGCTGCCTAATCAATATCAATAGACAAACTGATACAGATGGAGTCCCACCCGCTAGACAAAGAACTACAGGCAACAAATGACTGCTGAGAGTTGGGAATTAGTCTCTCCCAGGGACAAGCCCTCTAGCTGGTTATTCATTACAATGTGTTAATAATAAAAAAAAAAGGTTATCAGTTTGAGAGAGATGTAGGGCATGAGAGATATTGGAGACAGAGGATGTGTTCATGGATGAAGGGGAAGGGGTAAATTATATGAAAACATATTAAATAAATAAAACAAGAATCTAGAGAATGTTCAAGTAGAGGAAACTATACATTTGATAGGGTAGCAAAACAATACTGTCATTGTAGACAATACTATGAAAGCTTCTGAAATAATAAAGTAAAACTGTCATATACATCACCATTTGTGATTGGGAATATACACAAAAGTATTAATATCTGTGCAATAAACAGACATCAATACTACTATGTTCACTGAAATATTACAGCGGTGAAAATATGGCAATAATTTAGGTGTTCATCTGTGGGTGGGTGCATTAATATTCTGATGTGACTACATAATTCAATACTCTTTGGACTTTGAAAACACAAATTCTTTTTTAAGTCACTTCTTAACTTTATTTTAAAGAGTTCATAATTATTTTTATTTTAATTAGAAAGAAAATTATTTTACATGCCAATCCAAGGTCCCTTTCC